AACTGGATATGGAACAACTGATTGGTTCAAAATTGGGAAAGGAGTACGACAAGGCTGTATATTGTCCTCCGGCTTATTTAACTTATATGCAGAATACATCATGTGAAAAGCCGGACTGGAGGAATCCCAAGCCGGAATTAAGACTGCAGGAAGAAATATTAACAACCTCAGATATGCAGATGATACCACTCTGATGGCAGAAACTGAGGAGGACTTAAAGAACCTCGTAATGAGGGTGAGAGAGTAGAGTGCAAAAAGTGGTCTGATGCTCAACATCAAAAAAAGAAAGATCATGGCCACTGGTCCCATCACCTCCAGGCAAATAAAAGGGGAAGATAAAAGTGATGACAAACCTAGGCAGCATCTTAAAAAGCAGAGACATTACCTTGCTGACAAAGGTCCACATTGTCAAAGCTATGGTTTTTCCAGGAGCAATGTATGGAAGTCAGAGCTGGATCATAAAGAAGGCTGACTGCCGAAGTATTGATGCTTTTGAATTGTGGTGCCTGAGGAGACTCTTGAGAGTCCCCTGGATTGCAAAGAGATCAAACCTATCCATTTTGAAAAAATCAACCCTGAGTGCTCACTGGAGGGACAGATCCTGAAGATGAGGCTCCAATACTTTGGTCATCTCATGAGAAGAGAAGACTCTCTGGAAAAGACCCTGATGTTGGGAAAATGTGAGGGCAAGAGGAGAAGGGGATGACAGAGGACGAGATGGTTGGACAATGTCATCGAAGCAACCAAAATGAATTTGACCCAACTCCGGGAGGCAGTGGAAGACAGAAGGGCCTGGTGTGCTCTTCCATGGGGTCACAAAGAGTTGGACATGATTTAATGACTAAACAACAATGACAAGCCCCCTTTCTAGCCAGTGTGGAGGGTCATCCACCAAAATTGGTACATATCGTGTCCCGTTTTTGTTTTATGCAGATGTTGCTCTTATCATCTTGCGCTCCCTCCCAGGTTTGAAATGTTTAATTAACAGAACTGTGAAATACTTGGACAAAAACAAAATGCAGCTGAATTATACTAAATCCAAAATTTTGGTTTTCTTAAAGTCATGAAAGCAACTTTAATGGAATCTGAATGGACACAAAATCAAACAGGTTAAAGAGTATAAATATCTAGGTATCCTTTTCCATTATAAACATTCCTGGTCTCCCCATCGTAAAATGGTTATAAATGTAGCTAGGTTCACTGGTCAAGCAATACTTCATTTCTATTATAATTTTGACAATTGTTATGTTCTGGTGGCTTTACAGGTTTTTAAATCCAAAATTATCCCACAAATTTTATATGGCATTTCAATCTGTTTAAATGCCATGAATAGGTCAATTGAATGGATACAATCTCAATTCTTACATAAAGTGCTAGGGCTACCAAGTTGTGTTCCCTACTCAGTGCTTTGTCTAGCGATTGGATTTTACTCTTTGGAAACAATGGCTTGGCTAAGAGCATTTCAGTTTTGGTTAAAACTTTTCTACAACTCTGACCCAGATAGTTTATTATATCAACTATTACTCGACTCTAAATCTCCCTTTGGGTCTACAGCCCTTTTACAAAAACTAAAAAGGATTGGCTTAGATGGTGACTACTTGGGCTCACTAAATCAAGGGCAAGCCTTCCAAATGATCAAAAGAAGAATTTTGAACATTGAATTCCAGGAACTATGGAACGCAGCCAGTAAGACCTGCTTACCACTGTTTTCCCATATTCCCTTTAAGATTGGAAAACTGCTGCATTCCTTTCTCTGCTCAAGTGTCCACAAAAAGGCAGGGCATTCTCCCTAGCCAGATGCAATGTCATGCCTGCAGCCTTAATATATGGTAGGTTCAAAGGAATCCTGTACCTCAAAAGACATTGCTCCTGCGAGCAGAGTGCATTGGAAACTCTTGCCCACATATTTCTGCACTGTCCACTCCACCAGAGTGATTGCTCTGAATTTGTGGCACCAGTCCTGTTAAAATTGGAGGGAAAATCTGATGTGGACAAAGTCCATTTTATGTTATCAGTGGAGGTGCCTGACATTCTGGAAAGAACTGCAGATTTCATCAGCTCAATAGTGAGAAAGCAAAGCCTTGCTTTCAATTAAATGTCTTTGAAGGGTTTGGTCTTCTGCTTTCCTACCTCCTCGTTTTTGTATGTGTGGGGAACAGACTGAAGGGTGATCTGATAACCCTTTTCAAATACTTGAAAGGCTGTCATATAGGGGAGGGGCAGGATCTGTTCTTGATCAGCCCTAAGTACAGGACATACAACAAGGGGCTCAAATTACAGGAAGTCAGATTTTGGTTGAATATCAGGAAAATCTTCCTAAGAGTTTGAGCAGTATGGCAATGGAACCAACTACCTGGAGAGGTGGTGAGTGCTCCAACACATTCAAGAAAAATTTAGACAACCACCTTGATTTGTATTTCTGCAATGAGCAGGGGGCTGGGCTTGATTACCTTATAGGCCTCTTCCAACCACATGATTCTATGAGTCTATGGTCAAGCCATGGGACAGAAGTTGGAAGTTGTAATTGCTAAAAAAAATTCCCCCGCCAGAAACATTATAATCCACAGGAATAACCTAATACAACAGGATTTGAGCAATTTCTTGTTTTCTTGTTCCTTCACTGTGTCTATTACATTGTAAGCATTTATTTTAAACTGTGACTTGCTTTGAGTAGTTTGACAAAGACTTCCTAGGTACCACCTGTTAGGAAGGCCCAAGGATCTTACTGTAACTCTTGATGGCAACGCACACAGGCTTCAAGCATGAGGATTAATGGAATGCCTGTACCTGTGAAGAAAGAAAGAGGAGGATAGGATACAGGGAAGGAGCAAATCAGGAATATTACAAGCAGGTGGAAGTACAGCAATGGGGAAAGGACAAGCTAGGTGAGGGGATCATAGCCCAAACTGTTCTCATATTCCCAAACTATCTGCCTCCCTGTAAATTTAGAGGCAAGTTGGCCTTCTAGATGCTTCCTTTGAATGCCAGGTGAATTTATTGTAAGATCTCACTCAGCTGTGACTTTAACCATACAAACCTGGTAAGCAAAAGGAACCTTGGTAAGGAAAAGGTGCTATTAAGTATAGCACCAGGGGAACAGCTTTTTTAAAAAAAGCTACAATCCCCACAATATCCCAAGTATCATGCCTCTTTGTGGGCAACAGTTCTGCCAACAGAGACCCCAGAACATATGTGAATAAATTAGTTAGACCTCAGGTGTTCAGCATAATAATTTATATTATATCTCAAGGACAGAAGAAAATATCTTGGATGCATTTATTACTTGTGCATAGGGTGGCTACTTACACATCACCAAAAGAGAGAAAGAGAGAGAGAGAGAGAGAGAGAGAGGAAATGCATCACCAGAAAAAGGTGTATCATCAGAAGTTGCTTGCAGTAAATTCCCGTGAAAGAAGGATAAATCTTCAGTTCCAGCTTTTAAAGTTTAATACACTGCTGCCATACCAAGATAAGTTGTACAATGCCTGGCTCCATCACAAATGTCAGATTTAATGCTGAAATATTTGAATTTCAGAACTGAAGAGAGACCTGTAAAGAAAAGGAAAATGCAAAGCTGTAGCTTCCAAAAGAAGAAATTAAAATTAATGGAAGCCATGCTGGAGGAACAAAAGAAGCTGAGCAGGGCTATGGAAGAAACATGCAGAGAAGTGCGCAGGATTCTTGACCAACAGAACATCATTCAGGTTCAGAGTCTGCAGCTACAAGAGAGAATGATGAATCTACTGGAAAAAATGATCTCCAAGGCCAATGTTTAAATTCTTTCCCAATGATCCTGCGAATATGTATTTATCTACAATATTTTATGGAAATAGCATATTGCAAACCTAAGGTTGCCACTTCCTTCCAGATAAATTAAAACTGTAATGTAAATATAGTTAAATGAAAAATCTAAACTATATATGATATGAATCTTTTAGAAAACTAAGCTTTTGTTAATGAAATAAAATTGCTGCTTGCTCTGTGAATTTGTTTTCTAGATCCTAGACAACTGAGCAATCAGTTCTATTGGGGGGCTTATGATCAAGGATCATCAAACTATTATTGTGAGATTTATTCTAGAAAGAAAGGTTTCTTTCTCTAGACTGAGAATAAAGTATTAAAAATGTACATCTTTAGAAAAAGCATATTTTTAAATGTTGGTTCAGAAAGAAAGAAAGAAAGAAAGAAAGAAATCAGATTTGGACAGATGTGCATATAAGACCAAAAAAAAAAAAGAAAGAAAGAAAGAAAGAAAGAAAATTATGAGTGGACAGAGGGACCAGATACAGACTCATAGATGTAGCCTATGTTGTGTGGATTTTTTTCCCTAAGGGTGTTCGAACAAAATAAACAATACATGTAATGACTCAAGATTTAAGCTTTTATTGGATGTAACAATTGGCTTTGCTCAAGGTTAAATAAAACAAATCACCCTGCTGAAATGCAGAGTAAATAAGTAAAAAAAGAGGTGTTACCAAACATCCCCATCTGATTCAATCCATTCAGTAAAAAAATATCTTTCAGTCAGCTGAATTAGCTTCAAGACCAGGGCTGGGGTCAAAGAGGGCATTTTTTTCAGGGCAGATTTAGATTCTGCTAGATTGTTTTTATGATTCTGCATGTTAATATCCACAAGGAGCTCCTCAAAGAGCCATCCCAACATGTTGGGGTGATGGGAAAGAATGGAAACCCTAGAATTTCTATCATTTTCCCCTTCCTTTCCAGTAAAGTGTGTTCTAATGCATCCAACTTCAAGTCAGAAGGGGATGGGGTTCAATAGACAAACTCTTAAAGGTTGGGAAAGCAGCAAAATTAAGAAGCTTCCTTATTGTTAAGATAGCCCCACCCAATGGAAAGTAAAGTCCTGCAAAGAGAGTCCAAAAATACAGGTAGCCAGATTGGTCCATAGTGAGAAATGATGAACATGTACTTTTGTATGTTAGTGTTTCTTAATTGCCCATTCAATACCAAGTCACCCTCAAAAACCTTGCATTACAAGAGGGATGGCCTACAACAATGTACTGTTCCTAGAAAAATCAATTTATTTCCCAGCCACTGTAACAACTGCAGCCAACCCTTCCCTGTATATTTTGGACATACAAGTCTCAAGGTCTTATAAAAACTGGTACAAACAAGAGAACAAAGGCTTAATGTAGGAAAATCCCAATAAACACATGTGGGCAAGTGTCAGAATTTTTTAAAAAATTGGATAACAAAATATTAGTTAATAATGGTAAAAGAGATTAAATTAGGTTAGGCAAATAGTTATGATAACCATTGCGATCTGCAGTAAGATGTTGAAATGCATCTCAGTCAGAGCTGTACAATGTCAAGGCCATCTATCACATATTGTTCTCTAGTGGGAGAGCTGTGAAGTATTTCATTAGGATATTAATATAGTCTATGGTGGTGGCACAGTATCAGGTAAAAGTAATAGTAACATACAGAGATATTGAATAGATGGTTCAGGAAGTGCTTTCTGAAGCTGGAATCTGGAGTCCCACAGGAGGTGCTGAGGGTACAGTAATAGGTGATGAAGCTGATGGGGCTGGCCTTTGTTGCCTGGGATGGTTGGGTCACATTGGGTACCAAAGTTCCAGAATGTTCTCTGGCTCCAGAGGCAGGCATAATAGGGTGAAGGCTGGTATTGCAGATGCATGCCTGAAACTGGGACTAAAAGTGTGAGGGACACCAAATCAGAGGCCTGAGGCTGTATCCTAAGTAAGTCTCCAGGTAATGCACAGAACCTCTATTTTCCAGCAGTGGATGGAGGTGATCCCACTGCCAGCTGCCTAGAGATAGAAATTGCAGCTTGGGGGAGTCTCAAGTATAAGAATTTGAGCTATTTAAACCCTCAATGAACCAAGGTCCATATGGTTGCAGCATGAAAATGGCAGGGGAGTCAAGGGGGGCGGAAGGTGGCTTAGACTGTCCAGAAACCTTTTCTCCCAATTCAGACACAGAACAGGAAACAGAGAAGACAACTCTCTTCTGAGCTCTTGCATCAGGTAGTCAGCACCACGGTGACTACTCAGAAGGACACAGAAAATGTACAAGCAGTCAGCCTATCGACCTCCACACTTCAGAATATAAATGAAGTGCTTACCTGATTCTCTGAATTCAGTCAGGGAGGGTCCTCAGCACTGGGGCCCTGAAGGACAAGACAAAGGATTCCCTACACATGCAGTATGGATGTCTGCTCTCTGAGGAACCTTGCTTCACCTCACCAAATCTCACTTCTTACACCAAAGAAATGTGGAGAGAAAATATTAAACAACTCAAATTGTGAATTAAAAAGAATTGGTAAAGCATTTTATTAAACTGCAGCTACATGAAAACCAGAGGCACAGTGTATATGCTCTTGAAGACAAAGGAAGACTCAAGGTCTTATATAAACATATAAGACAAATGCTTAATGTATGAAAATCCCAATAAACATATCTGGGTAGGTGCAAATTGAAAACATCCCTATCCTTTAGGTTCCACCAGTTTGACAGCATTCCTAGCATTTTTCTTCCTGTCGAGACTGAAGGATGCCTATGATGAAATGATCAAACATTACCTTCATGAGTCAACCCTTGTTTGGCAATGACAGCTTCATGAAGCAAACATATACACATGTTAATTCCTAAACCAACCCCCAAACTCTGGATGACAGAGTTTGGAAATTAGTATCAAGGCTACAGTCTTCACTTGGGGGCAGGAACTCCTGTACAACTTCTTGATATGTTCCATATAGCAAAGACGCATCATTCATACAAAGGGTACCAATACATGGGAGATTATTGCGGTATCTGTGAATGTGAGAGTTAGGGATGAAGGTCACCTTGTGGGTATGATGCTGTGAACATTTTAGGGTTATGAGGATGCTTTGGCTAACCCACAGTCTCCTCACACTATGCCTGCTGAATGCCCTTTGTTATCCCTCCATAGTGACAGTTTCCATTGTCTTTAAAGTGATTGCCATTTTTTGTCTCATTCTTACTGAACTTGTCAGAAATCATAACTGGATTGCTGCAACCTCCTAGTTTCAGCTGTGCCTGTCCTATGTACTTTATTGTCTTCTTCACATTTCCACACTCCCACCTCTATATGTACACCTAGGGGCCTGTCCACACTGGTCTATAGATATATGGGTTCTTGACTTATTTACAAGTGTTTCTGCTTAGAATGAGCCATCCTTCCCATTTAAGAGCTTTCACACAACTCTTTGGCCTAGCACCAGGGCAAACATTCTTTTTCTCACACTCAGTTTAGTCAGGAGATAGCATCCTCCAGCAACTGCAGATTCTGAGAGAGAGTTGGAGAGAAAAAGTTGGGGGAAATGAGAGAAGGGAAGCAGGAAAGAGGGTGTTTGAGTTATTACAACCTTGCATGCTGCTTTTAGTAAATGTGGCTGGGAGGGATCTTTCTGGGCTGGGGAGACTGTCAATCTATCCAGCACTAACCAATTGTTCCCTCCTGCCTCAGAATTAAAAGAGAGACCCTCCTCTTTGCTCAATGTTCTTTTTCCCTCTGTTACCTGTTGGAAGTCTGTTGTCTGTTGAGGCCTTCTGCTGCAAGCAGCCATATTTTATGGCTTGCTGTTATCTGTCCACTGCAAGTAAATAAAACCTTTTATCCTTTCTCCTACTAATGTCTCAGAGTGAATTATTGAAACGGTTGATGAGAAAAAGGGGTGGACTACTCTGGGGAACATTATTATTATT